AACTGCTTGCTCGCGCCACTGCTGACGGAAGGGTCTCCGCTATGTACGTATGTACGTTGAACTTCTTTCGCGCCGTACGCAGCCGACCGCGCTAATCGATGGTGCGGGGGAAGGACAGCACGAGAGCGAACTCTCAAGGGTACCTTGACCACTCGTGTTGAAAGAGGTGGACGTACCTACGTTTTATCCCACTACAACACACATTAAAACTATTGTTTTGTTAATGGAAACTAACACGCGCTGGCTCCACGTGCGCGCGAGCCAGCGAGCGAGGGAGCGTCAACGTGAATGTTTAATGACGATACGGACGGCCGTTCTGGTATCGCTAGCTGCGCAGGTTTGTGGAGTCAGATCAGATGCACATCACAATTAAGGCGTTCACACGTCCGTAAGCGAGCGGCGATGTGTGCTAAAATGGCACACACACACACACACAAAAAACAAGCCGGATATTTGCCACCTAAACTTCACACCTATCCTCTGCGCCATCACTCATCGCAAATGCCAGCACATCTCCCCGCCTTCGGGCTTCCATTAGTCTCAATCCAAACTGACAGTCTGTAATTTAAGTAATGAAATAAATTTAAGCGCGCGGGCTTCGCGGTAAACAAGCAAACGGCGCTCGCGACAAAACACGCACGCAACGATCTAAAGCTGCCTCACTCCGCGTGCATTCTTCATTTCGCCTCACTCCTCTTCGTCCTCTACGTCCTCCTCGTCACGATATGTCGTCGAGCCCCGAGCAGCACTCAGAAAGCGTCGAGCCAACACGACGCACGCGGTGACACCGCGGGCGGGGAAGAGGAAACTTTCAAACCCAAGCCGCGTTTGGGTCGTCCCTTGCCGAACGTCGCTCGCGCCGCTGCTCGCGTAAAAAGGCCTCCCCGCTAGAGGTGGAGGAGGTTGAGACCCCCCCCCACCCCCACTCTATAGGAAATATTTGGCCTGCTCTTTCTACGCTGCCCTGAAAGTGTTAGGCCACCACACACGACCCACTTGCACCGGCTGGGTGGACAGAGGCAGGCAGCGAGGGGGGTTTAAGAAACTTTCCCTCTGGCTTGCAAGTCCGGTGTCTGGTCACCGCGACACCGCTTCTAGCAGCATCCGTTCGCCTGTGCACGCAGCAGCAGTAGCAGCCCTCCTCCTCCCTCCCACTTGCTGAAGTCGAAAGTCAACCGCCGTGCAGCGTGGCGGTGGTCACCTTCTCAACATGTCGGCAATGACGACACGCAAATCAATAACTCGTCATCATGATCATCATCATCATGATCATCACACGTGATCTATCCACTGCTGGAGGAAGGCCTCCCCAGGCCGCGTGCCCATCTCCCGTGACCTTGCGACGGCAACAATCCCATCGAAAACGTGCGCACTTTCGTCGAGGAGAGTAAATCATCAACCAACTCCGCTCGTATTCGCAGCATGAGCGGCGGCTTCTGGCTGCTCGCCATCGAACAAAGACGGCGGTGGTCACCCCATCGCGGGGCGCTTCCAGATGCGCTTCTGCGGCCGTCTGGAACGCTCTTCCCTCCAATGTGAGGAAGCCACTGGAGCTGTGTGCTTTTAAATGACCATCCAGATTGACAAACTCATTCCTTTAGGACTGCTCTTTGTATTAGTTTGTTGTTCTTCCCCGGCACCTGCGATTAGCGCAGTTGTATACGTACGGTGCCAAGGAAGTTTAACATACATACATACACGGGCTGGATACGTTCGCCATGCCTTCGCCCCTAGGTCGACTCAGCCTCAAACGAGTACCCGGTGAGATGTTTAAACATTGCCACGAGGGAGACAAAGGCGGCCGGGCGTGGTGGGATGCCTGGTGCGGTCGCTGCCGATGGGGCTGGCATCTCCTGCGCTACGGTCGCGAGTCGTATTTTGGGGGGGGGCGGTGCCTCCCCCCCCCCAGTCTGCTCCCTCCCCCCGAGCCCCCCCCCCCCAGTCTGCTCCCTCCCCCCGAGCCCCCCCCCCCCCGTCCCCAGGTGTGCGCTGTGGCGAGCGAGCCTCCTCCCGCCCGGTGTTGGCAGGCGCGGTTAGTGCCGCGTGATTGGAGCGCTGGGAGCATGTGATAACCCAGAGTGGCCCGGGGCGGCCCAGCCGCTGATGTGCCCTCTGGCCAATCGTTGTTGTTAGGCTTTTAAAATCAAATTTTAACCATTTAGGTGAAATTAATATGTACAGCTTGCATTGTCAGCTCGACTCAGCCGCAGCCTACCGCCGTACAAGTTGCAACGCGGGTTTACTTGGCGGCGAGGGAATGCGCACTGGACGAAGGAGTTTACATGAATTCAGACAAAGGCCTCTGTGACTGTGGGTCTCTCTGTGACTGTGGGTCTCTCTGTGAGTATGTGGCTCTCTGTATGAGTTTGTGGGTCTCTCTGTGAATCTGTGGGTATCTCTGTGAGTATGTGAATCTCTCTGTGAGTGTGTGGGTCTCTCTGTGAGTGTGTGGGTCTCTCTGTGAGTATGTGGGTCTCTGTATGAGTCTGTGAGTCTCTCTGCGAGTCTGTGGGTATCTGTGGGTCTTTCTGTGAGTGTGTGGGTCGTTGTGGGTCTTTCTGTGAGTCTGTGGGTCCCTGTGAGTCTGTGGGTCTCTATGTGAGTCTGTGGGTCTCTACGTGAGTCTGTGGGTCCTCAATGGAAATCAGTGATCGCTTTGTGTATGTGGCTAGGACATTGACTCTGATGGCAGGAAAGTGTCGTAAGAAGAGCAGAGATGAAGACCACCACGGTGGAGACGGAGGGGCAGGCCTTGAAAGAGGCGGTGCAGAGAGGTGAACCAGGATGTGAAGGATTGTGGAGTGGAGGTGGAGATGATGGCTCGGGACAGGAATACACGAGGGGGAGAAATCCCTGAAGGGGATGATTGTCAAGTGATCGCAATGGTGCAAATTTCGCGTAAATTCTTTTCAGGCCCAAATTTCTACCAATAATCACCACGATGTTCCCACTCTCTAATTATTACGATGACAGCGATTATAATTTACCCGCAAGTATGAGCGGTTGTTTTAGCATTGCCACAATGTTGACAAAGATTCTTAACAAACACAACCCCGAGATTGAATTTGCAATCGCCTATCGGTTGTCTGTGTGAGCCACGCTGTTTTGCATCGCGTGCACGTGGTGGTGGTGGGGGGGCGTTATGGCGTCACGTGCCCCCACTCGCCTTCGTCACAGTCACCCACGTGGGGTCACAGAGAGAGAGAGAGACCCCAGGCTGCCCGCACAATGCAGCTATTGACGACTGCGGTGGTTCTCTACAAAAAGGGGTACGCGGACCCTTGGGGTTACGTAGCAATGTCCCAGGGTGAACGTGGGGCAACTTGTAAATGCGTGAAATGATATAATCTGTGAGTTATTGGTGAATAATCACGTATGCATCTGCCAATATTAAATAACTTCAATCAAAAAATTAATCCATATGGTAACCTAGGACGACGTGAAGACCTTTCTCCACTCGTCGACGGTAAACAATGCGCGGGTTTCCTCGAGTAACCAGCGAGCGTGAACGCGTCGCGTCACGCGCGTGAACACGTTACGTCACGCGCGTGAACACGTTACGTCACGCGCGTGAACACGTTACGTCACGCGCGTGAACGCGTTACGTCACGCGCGTGAACACGTTACGTCACGCGCGTGAACACGTTACGTCACGCGTGTGAACACGTTACGTCACGCGCGTGAACACGTTACGTCACGCGTGTAGAGCGTCCGTTGCAGTTTCTTTAATTCGCTTGTAAGTCACTTTGCTGGTTATGGTTTAACTCACAAAATGGAAAATTGGCAAACACATCGACGTTCATATTGAATTGTATTTATATCTCAGAGCCATGCTGGGTCAGACGAGGCGGTTACTCGGTTAAAACAAAATTCCACAAGAGGAGTTAATATTCTATGGGTCTTTCGGTAAAGCCACGTAGATGGAAAAATAATAATAAAAAATATCACGACGTTTCGATCGCAACACAAGCAGTCGCCTTCAACTGAGAGAGTGGTACAGCAGCCAAAACTATTTTTGAGATCCACCGCTCAAGTTAGGGCTGTTAGGCCCTCAATCGATGATACTGGCCTCATCTTCTTCCACGCTGGTTCCAGCCGTCGAGCGAGAGGGTGGGAGTCGCCACACTTGACCCCACCCCGGGCCTGGCTGGGCATTGTGCCCTGGGATAGGCGGACACGGGGGGCGGGGGGGGGTCTTGATGCGAGGAGAGACGGCGATTATTTATAGCCAGCTGAGAGCCCCTCTGGGCGGCGGAGCTGCCCCCTGAGGGCAGCCCCGAGTAAAGATGTGTGTACTTGTGTTCTGACTCCTCCTCTATGTATGTATGCGTGTGTTGAACTTATTTCGCACCGTATGAGGCCAAGCGCGCCAGTCCTAATGTACACTTACGGATATTTTTTGTCAATCCACTGCTGGATGAGGGTCTCCCCACGGCGTGGGGGTGGCGGGGGTGGCGGGGGGGGGTGTTTGAGCATACTTCACCACGCTGGTCAGTGCCGGATCGTGAAGGTGGGGACGGAGGGGGTGGGGCAGCCAGGATGTGTTCCAATATTCATTACAGGGGCAGGGAATTGAACTCCGGCTGCCAGGTTCGCAGTGCATTCCAGAGGTCACGGGTCGTGTGTGGTTGAATAAAGTGTGGGTGTGCTCACCTCCTCTTAGCACGTCTGGTCAGCGTGGAAGAGTAGGCCAAATACCCTCTAGAGCTCTCTCTGGTGGAGGCCTCTCTGCCGGTCGTGGCGTGAGCGAGCCGACCACTGCAGAGCTGCCCCCCTTTACACTCTCACAGCGACAGCTGGGAGCTGACAACTCGTGTGCTTAGAAGTGGTTTCGTGTTTAGTTTGTTGTCCTTCCCCTCCGCACCTCCGATTGGCGCGGCTGGCTACGTACGACACAAAGGAAGTTCAACATACACTCGTACAATTGTCTGTGTTATCTTTGTCTGTGTCGACTCTGTGTCGTCTCTGTATTTATCTTTGCCCTCTCCTCATAGGCCTCCGATCTCGGTTCCACACAACATCTCTGAACCACACGACATCACACGCGGCCGCTACTGCCGTCCGCTTCCCAATGGACGTTAAAGACCTCCCCCCTGAAGTCGGTGACAAGAGAGCAGTGCCCGCGTCACGGTCCACATTTGCCAAGTTCTCAAATTACTCCGTGAGAGTCCCAATTGGGATTTTACACACAGGAATCTCTCATCTTAGACTGGAGGAATCTCTCATCTTAGTCTGGAGGAATTTCTCATCTTAGTCTGGAGGAATCTCTCATCTTAGTCTGGAGGAATCTCTCATCTTAGACTGGAGGAATCTTTCATCTTAGACTGGAGGAATCTCTCATCTTAGTTTGGAGGAATCTTTCATCTTAGACTGGAGGAATCTCTCATCTTAGTTTGGAGGAATCTTTCATCTTAGACTGGAGGAATCTCTCATCTTAGTTTGGAGGAATCTCTCATCTTAGTTTGGAGGAATCTCTCATCTCAGTCTGGAGGAATCTCTCATCTTAGACTGGAGGAATCTTTCATCTTAGACTGGAGGAATCTTTCATCTTAGACTGGAGGAATTTCTCATCTTAGTCTGGAGGAATCTCTCATCTTAGACTGGAGGAATCTCTCATCTCAGTCTGGAGGAATTTCTCATCTTAGACTGGAGTAATCTCTCATCTTAGACTTGAGGAATCTCTCATCTTAGACTGGAGGAATCTCTCATCTTAGTCTGGAGGAATCTCTCATCATAGACTGGAGAATATCTCATCTTTACTGAGACTGGAGGAATACGACGAGCTATTAAGCTCTTTTTCACAGAGGCCCAATCATCTATCGCCCTCTGGCGACAGACCTAACGACCCACGTCGCTCTCACCCTGGCCTCTCTGTCGCGAGTTGCTCACCCGATGAAACAAAATCAACTTCCGTGTAAGAGTCCAAGTGCGGTCAGTGCTTTGGTCACGTGCGCCGACGGAACTTCTCCGCCGAGCGCTGCGATTGATCCCCCATGCTCTCGCCGCCGCCGACGCGGTGAACCGTAGCGGTGAGTGCGGTGAGCAGAGATCAAGGGGGGAAGCGAGCGGATCTCGCGGCCGTAATTGAAGTTGAGCGCCGGAATGGCTCTGCGCCCTCTCGGCTCCTGCGACAACTCGGCACCGAAAATCGCGATTGGTAAACAGCGGCGGGATGCGCCTCTCCGTGTGTCATGTTCACTCATTGTGCGATGTTTCAACTTGTCTTTGCTTATACTTTGTGATGTTTTGAAAGCCCCGAGCTAAATTTTTTATTTTTTGAATTTTTCATCACAAGTCACGTCCCCTGCATTACTCGACGACTGTGGGAGGTGGGCTGCAGTCGGGGGGGGGGCGGGGGGGGGGGAAATTTGGAGGGCGGAGGGGGCGGGGGTGACGGGGTGGGGGGTGGAGGGGGTCGGGGGGGGGGGTATGCAACGTGGGGTGATGAGGACGCTTCGTCTTCCCGTCACGGAGACTCCAAAATCACGACTCTCTTTTTTGCGGCCATGCTGAAACTCGGAGTCCTCGCTTTCTCCGCGTGCACCGAGTCACTCGGAGCGAGCATCGTCAACCTGGTTGGTTCGCTGCGCTTGCGAGCAGCGCTCATTTTCAGCCAAATCTCGTGTGGCCTGACGCACCACGAACCCAGTCTCTGTCTCGCTGCAGCCGTGGCCGCTCGTCACGTGGCCGCTCGTCACGTGCCCATCCACTCACGTCGACGAGAGACGTGGAAGACGTTCGGTGAGAAACGAGGCCCCGCTCAGAGAGAGATGCCGAACAGGACGTCACTCGACGGGCGTTCATGCGTTAATGCGTTCGGGAAAATACTTTTAAGTAGGGCGGTAACATATTCCTCGGGTCTTTCGGTAAAGTCACGAAACTTTACCGAAAGACCCAAAGAATATGAATTCCTGCAGTCACGAAAGCTTCAGTCAAGGCGGTAACGCAGTTTAGTGACAACATTCTCAAACGTCGCTGAAGCAGCTGACCGCGGGGCGAATGGACGTGATGCGTCGACACGGTGATCGGGCGTGCCGCTCAGAGGGCTCACGATTGTAACGTTCTCCCGTCCTGTTCCAGTTGCGAGTGTGCGTCCGCGGCTCTCACGATGCTGACCTCGAAACCCGACGCAAGGATTTTTATTGCGCCGCAATTCGCACGCGCGGAATATTTCCCCGCGTGTCGCCGGACAGTTATGTATCTATTTTATGCGCACGTTTGTGCACGCGCGCACGCGCGCGGTGTGTGTGCCTGTATAGCTAGTCTAGACGCATTAAATATTAAGCCCTGCATCTCTTAAGCGTACACACTATACTGCACAAGTATTTTACTCACAAATACCTCCGCAGGGTTTTTACGTCTTTGCCGAATGTGAATTTTTAAGAGTGTTCAACAAGTCGTAGTGTGCTGGCAACAAAATTGAGGTTTCGGAACTTTAACCAACCACCCTGCCGGGACTGGCCGGCGCGGTGAAGCATGGTCCAATCACCGCCGTGACTGACATGACTTGGGGGTGGGGGAGGCTTCATCCAGCAGTGGATTGACTAGGGACTTGCTCTACGTGATCATCCCTCGTTTTAAAAATCAATATAATGCCTTTCATTCCGCTTGTACGATCGGCATGGCTGTCACGAGATGGCTACATTATGCGTTCCGGAGCAAGCCGTGTAACCACCTTGGCCGGAATCGAGCTCAGGTCGCCGGGTTCGTAGCGGCAGTGCGTTAATCTCAGCGCCACCACTCCCAGACGCGAGTCACTCGTGGCGAGGCCGAGCGAGGGCAATGACCCCGTAGCAGCATCGCGATCGGTGAAGGTCGCGCCGGTCCTGGTGATGGAGGGAGCTGGAACCGTGATCATCGGGGGAGTATTGCAAGAGGGGATACTGCCCCCCGATACGTTTAGTTGGATGCTGTGTGTAGCATTGAAAGTGAATATTTGGTGACTCCTGATGTGTTTCCGTTTGAGATGCTTTTAGTATCTGTCCGTCTGTTCTCGCACGTCCGATTAGCACGGTTGGCTACGTACGATGCGAAAGAAGTTCAACATACATACGTAGAATATTCCGCAATGACATATGCAACGTGGGTGCAATGTAGTTTGTTCCCAACAACCGGGCGACTTTCTCAAGGCGCGAACAAAGCCAACACAACTCCCGCTGCACGTCCGTCGACTTCTCGTTCGCCCTCGAGGAGAGATTTGCGTCAATTTCTTTGCGACGTTGACATGGAAGATGTCCCTGCCGATCCGCGAAGCCGCGGCGCCTGCGTTTGACGCACCCCCGATATGCGCGGCCGGCTACGTACGGCGCGAAAGAAGTTCAACAGACATACGCACACGCACACACACGACGATGAACGCGTGAGCGTTTTGTTGTTGTTGTTGTTGCCGTGACGCTGAAGCAAGCTGCGCCCTCCTGCGCCGTGCGCGTCTGGGCGCGCCACGGCGCACTCCACGGCGCCGCTGTGGCAGGATCCGCGACCGCCGAGAGCGGGCGGAGTGACACGAAGGCCGGCACGAGCTGCTGGGCTGCGTTAGGCCGAGTTACGAAGATGAGACCTGAGCAGGTGCCTCATATCATGCATTTATGCAGAGCGTCGGTGTTTACCGGGCCGTGCCGCGCGCCGCGGGGACCCTCTTCATTATTGATACGTCGAATATGGTTTCTGGACCGCGCGCTTTCTCCCTCCCCAGGAGCGTCCGCGTGAGAGGCTTCCCGCTCCCAGGGCCGCTCGGCTCTCCTCCGAGACGGCGCGACTCACTCCGCCACCCCCCCCCCTCCTCCTACTCTCCGCGCCGCTTCAATCTTTCTTAAATCAAAATCAACGGGGGCAAATCTATCCCGAAGCTTAGGACGTGTGTGCGCGTGTGTTTTTTTCTTCTATCTGTCCTTTCACTTTGTACTTATTTTGTTCTTGTTATAATAATAATATTACATAGGGGTTTTTTTTGGAACTGGAATTTATTTGTTGCTGTCCTTTTTTATTGCCCGCGCCCCCGTTCGGCGTCGCTTGTGTACGGGGCTAATAGTCTGAAAAGTTGAGACGTTATGAATTTTGGTGGAAGCCAGCGAATATGCAATAACGCATTTGTCAGAATCAAATGATGTCCATCACGCGGAAGTAGCAGAGCGCGTGCGAGCGCATCTGCGGATTTTTATTGTTTCATATCGGATCATTCGCGGTTAGGGGATGGCATCCAGTGTTTGTTTTAATATTGAGAAGGAAATCAGCCCTATTACTGTTTGGGGGAAACGGGGCCCCAACACAATATGAGTGTTTATCTGTGTTGTGTGTCTTTGTATTTGTGTGTGCGTGTGTACGTGTGCGGGAGTGTAGCGGTTAGGGCACTGCACTACGAACCTGGCGACCCGGGTTCGATTGCCGCTCACGGCCAACACCAGTGACGATTATTTGAACCGATCCTGGGTCTCCCCTAGGTCGGCTCAGCCTCAAATGAGTACCTGGTGCGATGTGTAAACATTGCCACTGGTGAGGCAAAGGCAGCCGGCGTTGTGCTGGCCACCCACCCCCTCGTGTGCCGTACCGGCCTTCATAGGTGCTCGCTAACAGCACTTGTCCCAACAATTAGTTAAGGCTCCACGGTGGGATCTTTGTTTTGTGTATTTAATATTTACTGGGGTAGAGCGGTGAGTATCGTTATGAACCAGATTAACCGAGTTCGATTCGGATAAAATCAGTGGGAAATATTCGAACCGGTCCTGCTCCCCAACCATCCCCCCCCCCCTTCCTTTTTTAACCAACCCGTAACTTGCACTGACAGGCGTGGTGAAGTATGGTCGAAGAACCTCCATGACCGACGCGGTTTGTGGAGGGGCCTTCATCCACTCGTCCATTAAGAATGGCTGGGATACAACTTTTTGTAATAGCGTCGACAAAACGAACAGAGGAATCTGCGTATTTCATGAACGTTAGCTCAAGTAAATATAAATAAAAACACAGCAGCAACAACAACAAAAACTCTACACAATGCGATTGTTCATCACCGGTCTGGCATTTGGACCAGATGGCCCCGGCAGTAACAGGTGGCTGCATGTCGCCATCTCCCTTGTGCGCGAGTAGACACGGGATCGTGGCGCGATGCGACTTCGCCGTTCATCAACTCGTACCTGTTCGTGTCGTATTGCCTCGTTGTAAAACGTG